TGAGTCATTTCATATTTCATCAGTTTAATGAAAAAAAACCATAGTAGATGTGTTCTGTCAATATATTGAAATTAACATATTCTTTTAAAATTCTACCAGGAAGCATTTTATGGGGAAAAAATGTTATTGTAATTATCAAATATGGAGACGATATAAACTTGAACTGCAATTTCTGCAGATTACTATATCTCTCATTTAGATCATTGGTTTGTTTTGAATTTCGCGCAAAGCTACATGAGATATTTGCACTAGCCCCCCCCCCTAATTTAGTAGTAAAAGTAGGAAAGATAGCTAGTCATCACTACCCACCACCAGTTCTTGGGCTACACTTTTACCAATGAATAGTGGGATTGACCACACATTATAACGCCCCCTGAAAGGGCGATCATGTTTGGTGGGATGAGAGATTCGAACCTGTGAACCCCCAGATTACGAGTCCAGCGCCCTAACCACCTGGCTATGCCATGCCATACAAGCAATAAGATAAACAAATCATTGTAAATAATTGTTAATGAGAGGTATCTTTATTTATATCTTGGTTGTAATTGGCTGGTTGCCCAAAAACTTTGTAAAACGTTTTAAGTATAAGTGATAAGTGTGTCGTTTAACCAAAATATCAAACATTATTTCAAACAATGATTCTTATTATTAGATAAATAACTCAGTCAATAAAATTCGAAATATGTTATAGCTTTCAGCCTGATTAATAGTAAATTCATTTTCATTATCTCACCAGCTGTGACCAAAACAGATATTTATAATTTGGCGAATTATTTAATATCTCATTTGTTCATCCAAATTGTTAATCAAAATATTATATTCTAGATTGCTGCATATCAGAAAAAAATAAATATAAAAATCTATAAATTTGAGGGATCATTGAATAAGACACTTCCAGTCCTTTAACTAATTACCTAAACACGTCTATAATAATAATACCAAAGGATCACTTCAAGAAAACAATTAGTGTGTGTTGCGGCCATACCGATATATATTTAGAAAAATGAATTCCGCTTTTTAAGGTCTGTACAAGAATCGTATTCGTAAAATTCTTTAAACAGTTTTACTTACCTTACAAACAATACCGAAAAAATCACTAGCCTATAGCAAATATACAAGGCCACTTATCCTCTTTTTAATGTCACGGAACTAATCTATCGTGAGATATAGAAAAACTTTTTGCTTTTAATTGAGCGTATGAGAGCCCCTAGAAACCAAGTTAAAAAGTTCTTAAAACCTAGTTTTCTCGGTGTACGCTAGTTTTAATTTAGGATACTATGCAATTGAGAAAAACATCTTTGTACAAAAACAAAATTGATCCTTCTTCCTATATTAAAAGTTCTATTCGTATGACATAAAGTAATGAGAAGTTATGGAAAGATCTGACTTTCCGATTTCTTATAAATGGTATCCCGTCTATTTGGTTACACTATAGAGTTTTATGGTATGTTTTATCCGTAAAACCAACCACTTCAAAAATGTTGATAAAGCATGTGATGGATTTAAGCCTCATACGTTGTGTAAGCCACACCTCGATGAGAATAACCGTTACGAAAATCTTGTTTTACCCAATCAAGAAGAAGTATTAAGTATCTCCTGACTTACAAATCTTTCTTCTTGATGTGCATGTCTTATCAATAAAAAGGAACATAAAGAAGATATTGTCTCTTTATACACAATAATATTATATTGCTTAGGCTACATAAGTAGTTAGGGCATTACTCCTGTCTTCAAAGGATGTCGCCACCTAATGTTAAGCAAATGTTACATGATATGCCGACACATGAGGGTAACATAAGTGTTATGTAATAGACATCAGAGGGCTATGACGTCATAGTGCCACGAAGTGGAACCAGAGGGCGTGTTGCTAGGCCGCCATGTTAGGCGGAAGTTGTCATGTCACCATGACAACAGAAGTTGTCCAGGGGAATGATGAACACGCAGACATGACATTATAGTAACAAAGTTTTAAACTAATAATTTAATCTAATTTACATAACATTGATTTTATAGTAACTTTATAACAAAAATACTAAATACGTTTTACAAAGATGGACAATGTCACTAAGGCTACTGTTTGTATAGGCGGAGGATGATGAGCTCATCGTAAGGTGTCTCAACATGTGATGAGTGTCTAAATTTACTTACATGTAAAACTATTATTGGTTTAAAATAACAAAAAAGTTCTCAACACTATATTTCTTTTTAACTCTTTATTGTTTTTAAAATAAATACTTTGCAATCTCATCTACATAAAAAGACGTATCTATTAAAGGCGTATTTACATGAAAACATTTTGCAACAAAATCATGAATAATATATTAATAACATCTTTGTGGGATCCAAATTTAGATAATATAATACATACAATATTGTCCATACGCAGACAAATACGGTACTTGCAGTACTTTTTTATGTAAGTGCATGTTCGACAGTTCTTGTTCTTCTTTATGAATTTGCTTATGTTGAAATTATGTGGAGGCAATCCTAATGGAGCAAAATATTTTCCTTTCTTATTTCAAACAAAGAAATAAAGATCTGGTGGCTACCAGGTTTATGACTCTGATCCAAGTTGAAAGTTGCTCTTGAAACTACTTTCTCGTTACACTAAATGATGTTTCGTAGTCATTTACTTCATTAGGAAGTTACAAAGAAGCATATTAG